TATATATATATATATATATATATATATATATATATATATATATATATATTTTTTTTTTTTAAGTATATTTTGCCCAAAATATTCATTCATTCATTCCTGCCATATGGAAGTGTTTAATTTTCACTGGGTAACATAAGAAAATTACTCAAAATTTAAATCATAATCCAGCCTTTTATCAAGACTTTTCTTATTAGTAGTGTTTACTAATTCAAGCATTACCAGTCCAGCACTATTGTTCATAGTTAGTAACTTGAACAATCCCCTAAACCTAACTTGAAAAATCGTGGTGTGTAACATCCAGAAAGACCTCTGAGTGTCAGAAATGTGTCAGTAGAACAAAGCCTCTCTGTTTTCTAAAAATACTCCATCAAATAAAAGAGCTTGATACGGAGCAGTTCACTGTGCTAGAATACGACCTACAAATACTCAGCTGCCAAATGTCCTGGGAAACAGAAGATGTGTGGAAGGCATGTGTGATTGGAGAGAGGCCTGTGATACTATGATAGTCATCTAGAATGTGATAAACCGTGTATGGTATTTAAGTGTTTAAACCGCTCCGGGGTCAATGAGGTTACACAACAACACAGTCTGAGAGAAGAAGAAGTAGCTTGCATAGGAAACACTCACTCGGCTGCTGCGGTCGTTCGGGCCAGTGTTGGGCTGAGCCGCAGCCCTGTGACCCCCGTGACCCCTGTGACCGAAGGGGTCAGAGAAACCCCCCATCATCTGCTGCATGCGCTCATGATGCAGCTGGAACGGGTCGCTAAAGGAGAAGATCAGAAAACAATACGATGTATAACAAACATTATTGTGTTTGTAATATAGCTCTGATTGTTAGTGACAGTGCATCTCAACCATTGATTCTGTTCAGATGAGTTGACATGAACAAAACTACACAAGACACAATAAAGAAAATATGACCCAGACTACATTAAATACAGATTGGCTTGCGGTGAGGATAAGCATGATTTGTGTGTGTTGGGAATCATCTCAATCAGTCTGTGTCATGCTCATAGGTTTCCATACTGTTGGGCCAGTGTAGCTCATGATAATGTTATACACTTTAAGGACATTTTGTTACTTTTGTATGATAAACAGTGGCTGTGTTGAACAGCTGAGAAGCACTGCTCTGCATGCATTGAGAACAGCAGAAGTGCCTACCTTGATGAGCAACTTAAGAACAGAAAGAAGTGAGACAAGAAACTTCATTACACTTTCTAAATGACAGCATAACATGACGAAGCACACTGACCAGTGCATTCATCTCTACAGTTAGTGACTATACAGTGATGAAGACTCTGAGTGAAAGCTGACACTCATGCATGAAAGTTGAAACAGCCCAATACTTTATATGTGTATAAGCTGAATAAATAATAAGCTCTCCATTGATGTGTGGTTTGTTAGGATAGGACAATATTTGAAAATCTGGAATCTGAGGGTGCAAAAAAATCTAAATATTGAGAAAATCATCTTTAAAGTTGTTCAAATGAAGTTCTTAGCAATGCATATTACTAATCAAACATTAAGTTTTAATATATTTACGGTAGGAAATTTACAAAATATCTTCATGGAACATGATCTTTACTTAATATCCTAATGATTTTTGGCATAAAAGAGAAATGTATAATTGTGACCCATACAATGTATTGTTGGCTATTGCTACAAATATCCCCCAGCGACTCAACACTGCTTTTGTGCTGCAGGGACACATATGTGAGTCTGCATGGACATGATTAAGAGCTTGTGCAGTAACACAGCAAGTGAACATAAATCAATAAATGCAATAACAATAAATTAGATTTATTTATTGCACTAATAACAGCAAACAGTGTTGAAGACTTACAATCCCGTATGGAAATGCAATATATCACATATATTGCCCTCAAGTGTACCGATATACCTATATATCGATATATAATTTTCACAAATGTACATTCTCAATTTTATTAAAACAAAAAATATATACAAAAATCTTTGCGTTTTGTCTATTTATCTAATTTAAAAAGAAAACGTATGTTTATATTTACTTATAACATAATATCATCATGCATCGATGGGTTTTAGGATGAATATACATGTACATGTGCGAAAATAATATACCATTTGTAGAGGCTAGATGTTAATATATGAAATTGTTTCAATTTGTAATAAGTTTCAAGTAGGCATATGTTTTTACTTCATATATGTCGTGTTAATTTAACAGGCATTTGCCTTTAGGGATGTCGGTTAACGAAACCAAATTAATGATAATAATATAAAATAAAAAATACCACAGAATAAAATGAAATACTAATTCAATAAAACCTTAATGTGCTTTGAATCATAACATTTTGAAATATGACGCACTAAAGGTAATTTACAAATAGCTCATACACTGATATGTTACAGAGCTAGTTTAATAAGGCTGTCTTTTGAGCGTTCTGCAGTTAGTTTAGTGTAAAAGTGTGTGAGACTCACGCAAAGAAGGGCTCGTCTTGTTGCTGTCTGAGCATCGCGCTGCGCTTCTGAAGGACGCACGCGCTGCACTTACTGTCGGAACCCCACACACAGTGCACACGTGACCAGCTTTGAGCGTTTTGATTGGCTGAACACTGACGCGTTGGCCCCGCCTCTCTTGTGCAGGTGTGGTGTACTGTGTTGTCGTGGAAAGTGTTCTCATTATCTAGAAACTTCCACATGTTTATCTCACATTTATTCCAGCATTCTGTGTTCACTGTCACTGCAATATGCGCAATGGTTTCTCCAGCATACAGTTTTACTGTTATACTTTCACTGTGCAGTGTAATTTAGCCTGTGTGTGTACAGGCTATCATAATGTCAGAGATACTGTATACTGTAACTGTGATCTGTAAAGGCACCGTTCAGACAAAGTGCTCATGAAATAGAGTTATAACATTATATCTGTCAGTGTTGGGAAGGTTAGTTTGGAAATGTAATTATAGCCTATAGGTTACAGATGACAAGTTACTCTATTTAAAGTGATGGTGTCATATAGTGTCACTATTTCAGTTACTTTATTAAAGTAAAGTAACTGATTACATTTGACTACTTTTCTAAATTTGTAATGTTTTCAACTGTTGACCATTTTGAAACAAGTAAAGCAGGCAGGGTTAATCATATACAGTAGAGCTCAACACTGATTACTGTCACTTTCGAAATCCTTCATCACTTGAATTAAGATTATAATGATTTATTTTTAATGCACAATACGGAAGGCACAGCCACCAAAAAAGCAGAACTTACTTTGAGATCATTCTGGGGTAAAATACAGGTCGTAAAATCATTCTGGGATTAAATACAGGTCATGAAATCAGGGTTAAATACCGGTCATAAAATCATTCTGGGGTAAAATACAGGTCGTAAAATCATTCTGGGGTTAAATACAGGTCATAAAATCAGGGTAAAATACAGGTCGTAAAATCATTCTGGGGTTAAATACAGGTCATAAAATCAGGGTAAAATACAGGTCGTAAAATCATTCTGGGGTTAAATACAGGTCATAAAATAATTCTGGTGTTAAATACAGGTCGTAAAATCCTTCTGGGGTTAAATACAGGTCATAATATCAGGGTTAAAAACAGGTCATAAAATAATTCTGGGGTTAAATACAGGTCATAAAATCATTCTGGGGTTAAATACAGGTCATAAAATCAGGGTTAAATACAGGTCATAAAATCATTCTGTGGTTAAATACAGGTCATAATATCAGGGTTAAAAACAGGTCATATAATCATTCTGGGGTTAAATACAGCTCATAAAATCAGGGTTAAATACAGGTCATAAAATCATTCTGGAGTTAAATACAGGTCATAAAATCAGGGTTAAATACAGGTCATAAAATCATTCTGGGGCTAAATACAGGTCATAATATCAGGGTTAAAAACAGGTCATAAAATCGTTCTGGGGTTAAATACAGGTCATAAAATCAGGGATAAAAACAGGTCATAAAATCATTCTGGGGTTAAATACAGGTCATAAAATCAGGGTTAAAAACAGGTCATAAAATAATTCTGGGGTTAAATACAGGTCATAAAATCAGGGTTAAAAACAGGTCATAAAATAATTCTGGGGTTAAATACAGGTCATAAAATCATTCTGGGGTTAAATACAGGTCATAAAATCAGGGTTAAATACAGGTCATAAAATCATTCTGGGGTTACATACAGGTCATAAAATCATTCAAATCTTAACAAGAAGTAGTTTAATAGCTATGATACTATTTAAAAATCGAATCTTTGCATAGCTATGACATGAAACACTGGCATCTAACAATGTCTTGGGGGAGGGGGGGGGCAGTTAATCTTAAAAAATAAAGCATACATAAGCCCAAAAAGGAAATAAAAGAATTATTGAATAAGCATGCATCTTATTCTGTGTCCTAGTCTCCTGAAACATTGGTGTCTCATATTTTAGAGCAGTCAACACAATTTATGAAAGAAATCAATTAAATCTGTATGTGTGTGTAAAAAAAAAGGTTTAACCCCCCCCACCCCCCCCCACCCCTCTGTAATTATTAATATTTTCATAAGTATTTATGATTTAATTACACATTTTTCACAGTAACTGTAATTGATTACAGTTGTATTTTGCAATTAAATTACGTAATTTAACTAGTTACTCGCCAACACTGATATCTCTACAGAGACCGCACTAGATGCAGTGTCCAGAAGAGTGCAGGGTGTCTCTGTTATCAGTCCACTGAAGGAGGTGTGTGTAAGAACATCCAGCAGAGACCCGATACTCCGGCATCTGTCACACACACTCCCTCAACCTTCTGTCAATACAAGATCCAACATCTACACTCAAACATGCACACACACACGTGTGTGTGTGTGTGTGTGTGTGTGTGTGTGTGTGTGTGTGTGTG